TCAGGCAAGAAAGTTCCTTTGGGGGATCAATAAAGTACAAAACGTAAGAGAGGAGGTATTTTTTTACTTTGTATATTTGACGGAAATAAGCTTCAGCTCATATGCCATCACTGTGTTTGGTCCCACAGAGTTAAAGATCACTACCTCAGGATCTAGCACTTAAAGCGCTAGCTTAGCCAGAAGCTTGCAGTGTTTTTTTTAGAAGCACATGTCCCGGTGTCTGTTCTCGACAGCTTTAGAGGTGGAGCTTACAAGTACTGTACCACCTGTAATGTGGTAATGAGACTAATTACTACACATGCATCTCAGTAACTGTAGACAGAGACATATGGAGCGTAACTGGACCCTCATACCTGCCAAGCAAGGACCAAGCTATAGCGCAGATAAAAAGGGACTGTTTCCATGGTGTCTTTCTCAACTCTGGATATAAATGTGTATGTGTGATTGTGACATTTCCCTTTGTGCCTGAAGGAGAACGAAGCGGGGAAAATATCAAATAGCATGAATAACGTGCACTCTGAAAATTTGCCAGAGCCATCTGCCGCAAATTGCTCATACCTTTTTACTCGATCCATTTTGTTCCTTTTATAGCAAACCTGTATCACGGTCTTTAAAATGTCCCAATAAGAAATTGCTGAAAAGTAGATGGTCGGTGCATGACTAGAAAAAAGAGAGTGGTCAGCGTATATGTTGTGTGTAATTGTAAGTGCCTTTATTTGCTGTTTGTCCACTTTATTAGAAACCCCTACCTTGTAGCTCAATTTGCTGGTGTACAGTTAGAGACTGTTAAGACTATTAATGCTTAATTTGTCTTATCCACTCTCTCACTCTTTATCAGTGTATTGAAAGCAAACTCAAAATTCTTGTAAACTAACGTAAAAGTCAAGTGGACATTGAAGTTAACTTACTGTGATTATTGTCATCTCTTATAACATCACAGGCAGGTGTATCTTCTGGAAAATGGAAAGTCCATGAGTGTGTTTACGTGCACTTAATAATCCGATAACTGCAGAAAATCAGATTTTGTCGGTAATCTGATCAACACGTTTACATGCACTTGAGTAATCAGATAACACAGAAACTCTGGGTCTACATTAGTCAGACAGTAATCGGATTTTTACTTTGCAACCAACCATTAACTCTCAGAAAAAGACGTGACGTAAACATGACGTAAAACTCAAACTTTATGCTGTTTTTTTTTTTTTTAACATCATGACACTTTAACTGAAAATATGTACATACATCATCTAGAAGAAGAAGAATATTCAAATCCATTTTTTCGTGTTTGGTTTCCTCTCTCCAAAAGTGTTTTGCTGCCATCTCGCAGCAACGCTGCTTGCTTATATCTGGTACTGCTGTCTGTTCTTGTGCATGTGCAGACTGAGAAATCAGAAAGAAATCAGAGTAAGAGTTTACATGTTCTGAGGAATCTGACTACTGAGCTAAAATCCAGCTCTCTTAATCGGATTTCTTAATCGAATATCTAGATCGGAGTATGGTGTTTACGTGACCGTTTGAATAATCGGATAACTGCAGAAATCTGATTATGATCGGATTATTGAGCTCTATTTATCCACTATCTCAATGGAAGTTCTGTGGTTAGACAGTAACGTTGAATAAGGTAGATGCTATAATGGGCTGCGCATTAGATGTGTGAGATTCTGCACACATTGTCCAATTGCGCCCCCTAGCCATTGCTGATAGTATCATGAGGAAGCAAGCTTTAGCCAATTTTCAGAAAAAAATCAAAAATGTGTTTTCAGCATGCATAAGAGGAAGGTGGACCTCAAATCTGCCATTAACCTACACACTGAGGAGCGTCTGAGATTCACAGCGCTTTTCTCTAGTAACCTAGTGATTCAACATGGCAAGAAACATGGTAATGCTGCATAGAGCTCTGCTCAGGAGAGCATAAATATACTTGTGTTTTTCTTCTGAAACTTACTAACTTGCTAAGCTAACTTTTTTTGTTGTGGTTTGGTAAAATCGCACATTTACAGCCTATAAATCACTTTTTGTTCAAGTAATAAAATGAATTATACTGTCTGTGTTATGTTAGCCTGCATGCTAATTTAACTGTAACCTACAATTATTATTAGGCTGGGATATATAACTGTTTCTTTTGGGCTTTAACAACTTTGATGGAACCACATCAGTCATTTAAGTCAGTGTTCATGTTCTGCAAGGAAAGATGTCCTATGTGTAGGAGGCTGCAGCACGGCTTTAGCAAGCATGACCACTAGACATAATAAAAATTCTTGCCACCTGCTGATGAAGAATGTTCTGAAGCCACACTATGTTGGGATTGATATAGAACATGGACTATACATTAAAAGAAAACAGGTTACAAGATGCGCATTCTTTACTTTTGTACAATTTAAAGTCATGGATGCTGTGTTTTCTGACATTTTCTTTATCCAACGTCATAGCCACTGCAGTTTGTCTACAATGATTCCTGACACTAAATCAGCTTAACCATCTTGCGCATGACAACAGTGGGGCTACAGTCTGTAATTGTACGCCTATATAGCAAGTCCATAAGGTAGGTGGACTTCAAAGTGGCCAGTGAGTAAGCACTGGTTTTGCTATTTGGAAGGCTCTGTTATTGCAGTGAAACTGGTCTGCATGCTCGCCTTGACTAAGCCTTTAAATGGTCTTTAAACTCCAATGGACTGGCTCTGGCGTTGGCACCATTTTGGCACCACACTTATGTTACACATGCGTGCACACACACACACACACACACACAACTTCAATTGTGCCCAGAAGTCTGACAAGTTAAGAGACCTCAGAACAAAAAAAATACTTTTATAATGTTCCCCTCCTGGCCTCAAAGGAATCCAGAGATTTTTTCAACGTTTTTACTACACTTCAGTAAATGCCTGCCTAACTAATCCAAAGTAATTTTTTATTCCAATGGGGTTTTTTTAGTGTGAGGCTAAGGGAGAGGACAGCACATCTTTTTGTAGCAGCACATCCTGGCTTGCAACAAAGAGTGTGATGCTAATGAGACCTTCTTAAATGAACAAAAGTGAACTGTGGAGTAATTTTAGGGAGCCATTTGTGAGATGAAAGTGTGGGGTGAAAATATCACGTTTTCAGAATTACCCTCACTGGCCACTTTATTAGGCTACGTTTACACGGCAGGTAAAAGTGGCCCAAATCTGCATTTTCTCACCAAATCCAATTTTTTTCTTTGGCTGTTCACATTATCTTTTAAATTAGTCTGAACAGATCAGCTTCTAAACCGACCCGTATGCGCAAAAGAACAATGCTTCGCGTGGCGTGCTCGTCCAGAGGTAAACAATCATGACGGCCAGCGAACGCCAGTGGCTCCAGGAGGTTCAAGTTTCTTCTTTGCCAGCATCACATGACAGCTGGGCTCATCACCCAGAATGTGTTCGAGTTCACCGTAAACAGGGCACGTTATTCGGTCACGGCCACTTCTTTGGTTCGTGTGCCTGGATTTTTTAAACTTTTTTTATATTATTATTATAAATGTTTATGAGTCTTAGCAGCACAAAATGATAGTGAATGTCGAGTTGAACTGATGTAAAAGTTGCATGAATTCCGATCTGGCTGTTCAGACTGAGTCGCATTGCCGCAGGTCGGATACATATCGGATTTCAGTACCACATATGACAGCGTCTGAAATTGGAATTGAAAACGTCAGATTCAGTGCATTTTTTGCTGTTCACATTGACACACAGATGACACACCTGTGTCACATGTGAAGGAAAAGATCGGATTTGGGCCACTTTTACCTGCTTTAGCTTTAGAAACCTTTACCTCAGAGATCCACCTTGCTGGTGTAAAAGACTGTAGCCCAGCAACACTGCTCTGCACTTCTACCAGCACCATACATACTACCATGTCAGTGTTACTGCTGCGCTGAGCATGGTGCACCACCGAAACAAGATCTGATTAACAGTGGCTGTGTGGCCAGAAAATAACCAGTGATGAATGAAGTAGAGATCTGTAATTGTACACTTTTTTAGAGGACCTATAAGGTAGATGGAGCTCATACACTGACCACTGCGTGGGTGCGCAAGATAGGGGTTTCTGATGAAGTGGACAAATCCTGGTGAGATCATTCAGTTTTTCCAAAATCTGTTTCCAACCCCACGCACCGTCTGAAAGTGGGAAGCCACTTTCTTGTCCCAGTGATCTCTTATACAACAGTGCAGTGTGGATCTTGTGTTACTGATGCACGCTGTCATGCAGAATTTAGTGCTTAGTTAAGACTCTCACTACTGCTTTTGCCTAACCGAATGTGAATAAACATTCACAGGACTACACTGTCTTGTCTGCCAACAATGTTGGAGACTTCAGCTCTTCAAAACATTATTTAAAAAGCAGTTGCTTGCATTGATTCTTTCTACTTCAATGAACTTGATTTGGGTAATAGTATTATATTATTTGGGTAATAATACAGGGTGATTCAAAAAGGTTCATCTGATTTCGAAGCGCCATATTTTTACAACCATGAGGAGCCTAGGAACCAATCACATACCAATTGAAAGACTGACTGTCATCGGAAGATGGCTCCCTTCAGTCTGCGAGGAGACGGCAACCCCTGAGCAGAAAGCGTTTTGCGTTCTCCACTTCAATAAGAGTGAATCCGTCATAATTGTGCAACGTGATTTTTGGCAGTGAACTTCCAACAGCTCAGAGCATTTGCCGTTGGTTCCACAACACCGGTTGATCTCCAGAATCACATTGAAAGAGCCGTGAGTACAGTGACACCCGACATGCTCAATCGAGTATGGGATGAGTTTGACTATCGCATTGGTGTTGTCCGTACAGCTGGAGGAGGTTCATATTGAGCACTTAAATTTACATAATAAACTTTATGATCACTTAAACCTTTTTTCTGAATCACCCTGTATATGTAATAGTCTGAAGCTGAAAGCAGTCCTAACCAAAGGAAAAGATGAGACTTCCAGAGAAAGTCCAGAGTTCCTTACTTACTTCTTTTTTTTCTTTTTTCTCCATTTCAGTCTGAAAGCAAAGGATGACTCAGGAGTGAATCAGCGGTGATTTGACTGACAGGCGGCTTGGTGGGAAACGAGGCCTCGAGAGAGAGAAAGTGAGTCTAATAACAGAAGGGAAAGCGGCACCACGGTGAGATCGCCTTTCGGTCAGCGAAGGGGATCATCTTTCTCAACATGGCCTCCACCACTGAATCGTTTTGGACGTAGAGGGAGTCACTGGACAGACACACCTGTAGTGACAGGAGAACTACTTTAGTTGACTTTGGACTGCGGACAAACAGCTGGAGTCTAATGCTCTCACATGCCCTAGTCGTAACAACATCAGTCCATGGACCTAAAGAGGAAACTCAACAGGGCACTTTTGGAGACCCTTTAAGAAAGTTTTTTTTCTCGACTCCTTTTCATGTTAGCTTGTTGATTCTATATGGTTGCTGAATTCAGCTGAATGCCCTGAGTATCCTCCCCTTGCAACCAGACAATTTTAGGGAACCTTGTGGAACATCTCCTGTCGGCTTGTTGACACTGTCCTTTAGTTGACGAAGCAGCTTGAGGTGAATGCTCTCAATGTCGTCCCTTAGCAGCTTCAATCTGTGGAGCTAAAGTGGAAACCCTGGACAGTTTTAGGGAACCTTGTGGAATGTTTTTGTAGGAACGTTCGCTCCTCCCCCTTTCATGTTTGTTCGAGGCCCAAGTGTGCGGCTGGAGGCTCCATCATGGCCAGGGCCCTGCTGAAGATCCAGCGCTACTTCCGTCGGAAGCCCGTCCGCTTCTTCTCCTTCATCCTCCTCTACCTCACTGCCGGCAGCCTTGTTTTCCTCCACTCTGGATTCTCCGGTGACAGTGCCCAGGCTGGCCGTGACCCGCTCACCTTGGCCGAGAATGGGCCTCTGTCCTCGGAGGGCCGTGGCCTGGGGCTCATCGGCAGAGTGTTCAAGGACACACGGAGGGCCGCCCGCAGGTTCGGGCCGGCCTGGACGAAGGGGAACGGGCAGGACAGCCCGGCGTGGGTCGGCGCCGGCAGCAGGAGCCGAGGTGCCAAAGGGAAAAACACCAAAGAGACAGAGGAGGGGAGAGGTAAGAAAAGGCTGGTGTCTATCAAATTACTGAGGGCGAATGATTTGGGTTCAACTAATCTAGTTCAATCTATAATTTCATACATGAAAAGAATCAAAACAAATGATGCAGTTGCTGGAACCACTGTTTATTCAAACAGCAGTGATGTTGGAAACTAAGCTTATGATTAAATGCTTGAAAGTGGTTGCAGTCGGTCTGATTATCTGATAGTGTTGCCCTTGGCGACACTTATTAGGGGTTGCACCTGCATTTCTGGAAAGCTGCTTTGGGAAAAGCCTTGTATAAATACATTGAATTGAGCACATTTGTCTGCCTGGTTGAAATGTAGTGGATTTAGAGAGGCTTCTCTGAAAATTAGGGTTTTGTCTCAGCTGGTTTTATCATTGTATAAAGAAGTGAATAGAATAATAAAGTAATTAATTACACAGAGATACATTTAGTTATTTGCATAGGCACCGCAGCATGATATTCAGTAACACAACTATTGTCAGTAGAGTCTGCTAGATCACTGGAACAAATGGCCACATTCAAATGAAAATCACCAGTTGGGTCTATAATGAAGCCGTGTTTGCTGGGACAGGATGTTCCTGTACATGTGATATTGTCGTCTACCCTGCCAAAAAAAAAAGCAAATTAGCAGAAGGGGCCGGAATGCATTCAGAGGTTCAGTGGTGGTTCCTGGCAAGAGTGGCAACTTACCAAGGGAAACACCGGTGCTCCTGGTTTCCTGTGGTGTGTCTCAGTGCCTGCCAGACTGCTTAGTACAATATACACTGATCAGGCATAACATCATGACCTCTTGTTTCTACGGTCATTGTCCATCTCCACTTACTATATAGGTGCACTTTGTAGTTCTACAATTACTGGAACAGGGTAAAAGGGGGCTAACAAAGTATGCAGGGAAACAGATGGACTACAGTCTGTAATTGTAGAACTACAAAGTGCACCTATATAGTAAGTGGAGCCGATAAAATGGACAATGAGCGTAGAAACAAGGAGGTGGTCATAATGTTATGCCTGTTTATTAATACAATTATTAATTGATTCCGGATTCTGGACAATGCACACACACATACACCATCTACTAAAGCTCAGGCAACTTTGCTCTTTAGCTTGTGTGGTTTTCAGAATTAAGTAAATAAATAAAAGTCACATATGAAATAATATTAAATGACAATGAACAGAGCAAATGCTTTGGCTAATAAACTACCCTCCTGTTTTGTTAATGAGGTCCAATGTGTGGGAATGAGATCCGATGTGGGTGAATAGCAGTTTAATTTCTTTTAGTGATGCACACAAAAGTTAATAGCGCCCCTTAAGAACTACCTTTAGCATGCTCAACATGAGCGAGTGAGTTACAACACAAGGTATAGTCATTATAGTGGAGGTGCTTTGAAATTTAGCTTTAGATTTCTGTGGGAAGCCAGGTTTTATCATTTTATTCAAAATGTTCAATCCATCCATACCAGTGATCTTGAGGGGCCAGGTATGTTCTTTCTGTTAAACTTTCGCTGCTGTATTGAGGTGAAATCTGCCACAAAAGAGGGTACTCCATCTCTGAAACCCACTCTCAAATTTTAACATGCTCTTTTAACATTCTGAGGATAATTGGTACCACAAGCAAAATAACATCATTAGCTAACAAACAGGTTTTCCCTTGAATCTGCATGTTTAATTGTAGCTTTTTTGCAGGGACTGCATGCTAACTTACATTACATCCATTGGCTAACAACAGGTCTTTTGTGTTGACGAGTGCATCATCACCGCGTTCACGAGGCGTTGGAGTGGTTTAGGGCACCTAGGGCACCTAGGGCACCAAAAAGTTCTGGCCAACCCCTGCAAAAGATGACTCAAGTCTACTGCTTCCTCTCAGTTATTAGCAATCAATATGTACTGTCTAAGCTGTTTCTGGCACACTAAAGGAATAGTTACACCAGTTACACCAAAAGTAGTCCATGATCCAAGACATTTGGTGTTAGAAGTTCTCTTCTTTCTGCACTGGAATAATGATGTTAATGGGCAGTGTAGCTAACAAATGAGCTTTTAGTTTATAACCACCAGTTAGCATTGTGCAAATGATCACATACATCAAACCAAGTTGTTAAGTAAAAACTCAAATAGACTTTTTTTATGCAGTTCCTGAAACTGATCTCTATAAAAACTGTTTGATTCAAATGTGTGATATTTTAGGCATACAGTTAGCACAGGGCTAATTGGTGCAATATAACTTTCCACTACTTGTTAGCCTCATAGCTCCAGTACAAAATGAAAAAAATCAAACATGCCTCAGATCAGGGGTATAAATATAGCTCCAACCCTAAACTAACACACCAGATCCAGATAATAAAGGCCTTTAAGGGCATCTGTACATGAGAGCCAGTTGTCTTAGGCAAACCTGCCTTAGATTGTCAATGACATCCTGAGGAAAACTGTAAATTGCGAATAACTGAGAAGGGTGAGGATACTTGAACCGTCCTTTGGAGTAGTGGGCCAAACCTATTTGGCTATTTGCTTCTTTAGATTTGTATTGGAGCTACAAGGTTAACAAATAGTGCAAGCTTTTAATGGAACAATTAGCATTCACCATTAGCATTATGCACACTGAATGGGCACATCATAACATGATTTTACTCAAAGATCATCAGCTTTTTATTTAAAACTGTTTTAGAAACTGCATAAAAAGTCTATTTGAGACGACTTAACAACATGGTTTTGGGCAAGTGTGTGATCAGGCATTTAGGCTTTCAGTTTACAGGTGGTGGTTGCTAATTGGTGGTTGTCAGCTACTTTGGACATCAACATCATATCTCCAGTGCAGAACTGAAGCAGAGTTTGGACACCAGTGAATCTGTTGATATTTTATGTTCAGCGTCTGGGCTGATCCAATGCCTCAGAGAAACGGGGAAAATAGTGCAAACTTTATTTTCTGCCAAACCGTTCTTTTGAACCGAATGTCATTAAGTAATTTGAGGTCAGGTCTATTTGAAAAGAAAAGGTCAGCGTTTAACCGCAATAAAGACTTGACCGGCAAGGTCACATACCTCTCCACGACTGCCTTTGCACGCTAATGATTTACTACAGATGTGCTAATTGCTGCACACGCCTCTCTCTCCATCTCTCCGTCTCGCTCTCTCTCTGGGGAAAAAAATGAACATGTCTCATATTTGGCATGTTTAATGGAAAGAGCAGTGTTTATGGCAGTGAAGTGGTTCCTTTGTTAGAACAGGCCTAATTGGCGGAACAGGGTTTGGCGCACTGGCCAGTAGAGACAGCCAGACAAGTTAATGAGGTGAAGGGCCATGGCCCTGTGACTGGGAATTGGGCCTGTCCTCCGACAGTCTGAGTAAACAATAATAATAACCTTTTTGGTTGTTTGTTTCCCTACCGCAGTTCTAGAAGGGCATTTTTAGTTCACTGTTGCACGAGCTTGTCTGTTTGAAAATCCATTTTTGAACTTCAGGCCAAAAGTGTGGAAATAAGTAGGGATTTTTGACGTTGTAAAACTATTTTAGAAGGTTTAGTTTACCAGCTAACCAGCACAGCACATGTATTAATGCCTAATTTAACCAAATATGTTGTTTCAGAGTATTCTTTTGCAATATTCCATTGTATATTTACATTGTTTGTTGATAACATTGAGCCCTTTTTAATTCTTCGCACACCCCTAAAGCCAAGTGTACACTACACTACATGGCTGTCTCCAACCTGAGAATAATTATATGGAGCTCTCAGCACGGATATCATGAAAATGTGAATAAAACTAATAGCCTTGGAGTTTCTGTCTTAATGGTTCAATTATGCCAGTTGACAACTGTTTTTAGTAATAACGTTACATTTAATATCACATTTGTCAGTTTTGGCATCAATATTATATCAAAATATGATCCGATTCTTTTCTGACAAAGATAAAAGTTACATTAAAGCCTTTAAATTAACAAAAGGAGCTGTTACCAACAATGATGCCACCGATTTGATCAAAAACTGTGTAACTGTGTGTATAGAGCAGCTGCCTTCGGTTGACTGATGGTAGATTATTTTCAGCACTTGTGGAATTGTTTAAACTTAGCAAAAATCTCATTTATATGGAATACGCTTTCAGAAATAAAGGTATGGAACTGTCACTGGGGCAGTATCTCTCTTGTCACTGGGGTGGTGCTGTCAAGAGTACATCTCAGTACCTTTAGTCAGGGAACATAACTGTACCATATTCCATTGATATTATATTTTCTAAGTTGTATTGACTCCACACACCCCGTCTCGTCTCCAGGCTTTTTATTTTATTGTTCTGTTTTAAAACATTAGGTTAGGAAATGGTACAAATATGTACTTTTCACCATGAAAAAACTTATTCAAGGTGCACAACTGGACCTTAAAACCACTGTTGTACCTTTGAGGGAACATTTATGTTGTTTATATCTTGATCAACAAAAATGTACCTGCACAGAACCTTTATTCCTAACAGTGTAGGTCTACTGTACAGACACTGATTTAGCTTGCTCAGTTGTCAACTATGTGACCAAATGCTTTGGCATTACTTATAACGACAAATATTCTATGTTTTCTCAACCACTGGGCCTGGACCACAAGTGGGCAGTGAAGTACCCTCTTTATTAGTCCCACAATGGGGAAATTTCACCTCTGTATTTAACCCATCCGTGCAGTGAAACACCACATACACACTAGTGAATGCACACACACTAGGGGGCAGTGAGCACACTTGCCCGGAGTGGTAGGCAGCCCTATCCGCAGCACCCGGGGAGCAGCTGGGGGTTAGGTGCCTTGCTCAAGGGCACTTCAGTCACGTACTGACGGCTCAGGGGATCAAACTGGCGACCTTCCGGACCCTCCAGCCCATGACTGCCCCCACTCACTCATGAGTGAAGGGTTTTGCTGAATTTGCCTCCATTCCACCTGATTTCAGGTATAAAACAAGCTTATATTAGCTTAATCTGTGTTTTAGGTTTAATGACAATTTTTCAAAAATGTATTTTTTTTAGCAA